GTAAGTTGTAGCGATATACAAGGTCTGTCAGTGTGTGCTTGTGTGTGTGTGTTTTGTCTGTTGTGAGGCTTCATATTGTCTGACCTGAACTTGACATTGTTTCTGGAGTTCTAACTCTTTTCTTCTCAGCTTTTTTGGTATCTGTCCTGTACTTTCCTCCACTTTACTGTCACGTCATATTCTGTACATGTGCTGTATGCTCTATTCCTAGTTTTATCTTTTCTATTCTGGTCTTGTCTGATCTATTCTTATCTAATGTTATTTAGTTGGATTTCACCTATTTATTGCAGTCTGATCTAAAGAAATGGACCCTATTTTCCCATGTTTTTGTTTCCAAGTAACTAATGAGAAAAGAATATTTTTGAAATTGGGCCAGTATTGAGCGAGACCAGCCAGTGGCTGCAATGTAATCCCTGCAGGCAACTGAGCACCATCAGTTTACATCCACTAAAACTGCTCGTTTTTGCCACTGACTGGCTCAGATTGTTCATATAAGTGTCTGACAACATTATGGAAAGGATCCCTACAGAGATATACCTCTTTGTTTTTGTTTAACCAGAAACAGACCCAAAATAGCCATAGCCAGAAAGACCAGACTCAATTTAAATAAACATAAATAAAAAGTGTGAATAGAGCCAGCATATTTTCACACCAGAGTGAATTAAGGGTTTATTTCAACCAAACCACAGTTGGTGGTTGGGACAGTGAAAAGACAAACCAAGGCAGCTTTTGTATGTTTTATTGCTTCTGTCAACTTTGAATAAAGCATGTTTTACAACAATAATATGATTATTTTATTTAAATGGAGTGTGGAGTGTGAAGATCTTACTCTTACATAAAGGTCTACCTCTGCACGAATCCTTTCCATAATGTTGTTAGACACTTAGAGTAATGTGAAGAACAATGTGCACCTGTCAATGGCAAAAACAAGCACTTTTAGCAGACGTAAACTGACAGTGTTTAATTGCCCGCAGGGATTACACTGCAGCCTCTTTTGCCGCTGCTGGCTGCAGCTGCAGCTGCCTCTCTCAATACTGAAACAATTTAAAAAACTGTTGATCCAATTAGTCACTTAGACACATAAAGTTACCCTTTAATTTAACCTATTTTAGTCTAGTTTGAATCTAATCTAATCTAATCTAATTTAGTTTAGTCTAGTCTACTCTGGTCTAGTCTAATCTATTTGTATCTTTTCTAGTCCATTCTAGTCCTATCAAGTTGGAACCAATCTTAACTTTGCTTTGCTCAGTTTGTCAGTTGGGGAATGTTTCCCAGTAAGTTGAGGTTGTATTATTGACTGCTTCAAAGACTGTGTGGAAGTGTTACCTTTGTGTTTCTATGGTTTGATCCAGGAGGAGGTGGAGTTAAGACTGAGTTCCTGCTGTAGTAAAGGCCCCTCTGGCTTGAACCACTCCTCTCCCAGGGAGGATGTCACACTGCTGGACTCTGAGCCATCTGTGTGTGTGGGTGTGTATTTTGCAGTGTGGTTGTGTGTGAGTCAGGGGAAATAGCATGTCAGGAGTGTATAGAGGAGTGTATAAGGTGTTAAAGGTAAAAGGTCAGGGGTTTATATTTGAAAACAAAATAAATTATTTCAGTGTTAACAGGTCAAGGTGGCAGGAGGCAAGATGACAGCAGGAACATGGAGAGGAAAATTGAATGAAGATGAGGGAAAAGTGTAAACAGCAAGCGAGGAAATGAGGATGAAATAGTAGGGGAAAACAGAGTGAGAAGAAGAAGCAGAGGGAGAATAAGGCAAAGGAAAAGTGGAAAGTCAAAGCAGAAATGAGACAGAATATGGGGTGGAGAGGAAAGAGAGAGAAAGGAAGAATGAAGAGTTAATGAATTGCAGCATGGAAAAGTAAGAAAAAAACAGTGGACTGAGTGACACACTGAGAAAGAGACAGACCGAGCAGAACACTGAAGAAGTCAGGGGTGATGACTGAGAACAGAATGACACTCATCTGATCCGACTGCTCTGCCAGATCAGATTTAAAACACTGCACATTTAAACACGAAGAGTTTCATTTCAAAACAAGATATCCAGGAACAGGCTTACATTTGTAACATTGTAATGGTGTGAGTAAGGTCATGATGTTAGGACCTTATGAGGCTGAAGATCATTTGTATGTTTCTTACTGTCTGTCAAGTCCCATGAAAAGACCAGAGTAAATAATGACTGCATCCTACAAACAAGTATTGTGTGTGTATCCAAAGCCTGATAAGTATTGCTCTGGTCCATGGAGCTGTATTGTCCAAAACTATTAAAACACATCTATTAGCCACACTTTATTATCACAAAGCAATATGTCACTGCAGTTTATTTTGAGTCAATCCCACATACACAGTTCTACTGTCCCAATTACTCACAAGAGCACCACATGTGAAAAAATCCATATCAACAGTTCCCTCCTGTTTGTGTTTGCTAAAAACATAGGTATTCAGTTGTTTTGAGAAAAGGCTAAGCCTTTATAACAAGACAGAACCTACAGCCATTGTA